CCCCCCCCCCCCCCCCCCCCGTAGGGACACACAGGGATTCCAACAGATTTTCTACAGTACCCTACTTTTGCATGTGTCCTGAGGTTCTGGCCTTAGGTTGGTAGACTTGTGTGGTGAATGCTTGTACCTCCTGAGCCATTTCTCCAGCCCAGGAGGGGATTTTCGATGCATATTCTACTTCAAACTCTTGCCTAACACCTTGCCAGCTGTAAGAAAATTGCAAGAGGGCTGGAGGGATGGTACAGAGGTTAAAAGCACTGGCTGCTCTTCCAGAGGTCCTGAGTTCAGTTCCCAGCAACCACATGGTAGCTCACAGCCATCTGTAACGAGATCTGATGCCCTCTCCAGGTCTGCAGGCATACATGCAGGCAGAGTACTGTATACATAATAAATAAATAACATCTTTTTAAAAAGGACGGGCGGAATTTCAGAATTGCTGGGCAGTGGTGGCGCACTCCTCTAATCCCAGCACTCAGGAGGCAGAGGCAGGCGGATCTCTGTGAGTTTGTAGCCAGCCTAGTCTACAAAACCTAGTTCCAGGACAGGCTCTAAAGCTACAGAGAAACCTTGTCTTGAAAAAGAAAACAAAACAGAAAAAAGAAATTGCAAGATAACACCCCTATTTCATTATTATTTCCACCTTTTCTCCCCAATTAGAGACTAACGTGCAGGATGGCATCCACATATCCCTTTCTTGAGGCCCGTTTCCTTCAGGAAGACAGCTCAGCCTCAGTTGCATGTCTTGCCACCTATAGTGGGAATTATGCAGCTTCCACCACAACTTTCTCACACTCCTGGCCCGTCTGTGTTCTTCTCAGGGGCTGCAGTATGTTCTTTATTCACCAACTGGATCCAGGTCATCATCGCATTTATGTGATAGGCCACATTGGCCAGGGAGGAAGATGGTCATCCGCTCATTTCTGCTTCAGTCATGTTCCTGTTCTGTTTGGTCACATTTTGTGACATTTCTGGATAGATGTGAAAGAAATGCCTTTTTACCCCAAATAGGGAAGGAGCTGACAGACCAAAGACAGATCGTCAAGTCCAGCTTGGTGACTAAATAGGTTTTAGCAAGTCCTTCTAGAGTGCGGATGACTTAGGAACAACTACACCACCAAAACATCCCACTGCGCCATCAATTTTCACCTCTCAGTGCATCAGCATTTCTGGGAGTACTTGTAGCTGGGGCAGGAGGGAGAGAGCAGAAACTGGAGTCCCAGGGAAGGGTCTTACGAACAACTCTAGCCCTTCCTCTCTCCCATCTCTCCCCCAAGAGGGAATATTACTGCAGATCTAGTGGTTTTGTTTTGTTTTGTTGGGTTTTTTTGTTTTGTTTTTTTGAGACAGCGTTTCTCTGTGAAACAGTCCTGGAACTAGCTCTGTAGACCAGGCTGGCCTAGAACTCACAGAGATCCACCTGCCTCTGCCTCCTGAGTGCTGAGATTAAAGGCGTGCGCCGCCATCACCCAGCAAGACCTAGTTATTTGTTGTATAATTCTGTTTACTTCATTGGGCGAGATCTCCTGTAGTTTACCATAACTTTTCTGCTTTATAATGGCGATGGTTATGCCAAACTCAGTGGAAGCAGCTTTATTACTTGCCCCTGTTCGAATATTATTCATTCTCTAGCATTTACTTGAGTACCAGCTCCATATATAAAAATAAGATTTTGTTTTGTTTTGAGGCAAGATCTCATTATGTAGCCCTAGCTGGCCTGGAACTTGCTATGTAGATCAGACTGGCTTAGAACATATTATGCTCCTACTTCTACCTTCCAAGTGCTTGGCTTAGAACAGTACCACCATGCCTGGCTAGATAAGCTTATCTGTTGTTCAACACTGCCTCGCCAATGCCTGAAACAGGCCCTAGCACACAATATGTGTTTAAGATAATGCTTTTCAGTCAACAAATGAGAGAATGGCATAGCAATGATGGAAGGGACAGAAGCAGAAGAAACGTGCCAGCTGTGGTTGTGACTCACACCCATAATGATGCAAAGACAGGAGGATTGCCTTGAGTTTGAAACCAATCTGACTTAAATAACCCTGTCTAGAAGAAAAAGAAGGAAACATAAAGAAAGAGTGGGAAGAAAGAGAAAGGGAGAGGAAGGAAAGGAAGGAAGGAAGGAAGGAAGGAAGGAAGGAAGGAAGGAAGGAAGGAAGGAAGGAAGGAAGGGGGCTAGTTGACTTTATTCTATTTGGGGAGCTGAACTTCAATTAAGATCTGAAGAGATCTGAGCAGTGGTGGCACACACCTTTTTTCCCAGTACTCGGGAGGCAGAGGCAGGTGGATCTCTGTGAGTTCAAGGCCAGCCTGGTCTACAGAGCTAGTTCCAGGACAGGCACCAAAGCCACAGTGAAACCCTGTCTCAAAAAAACAAAAACAAACAAACAAACAAAAAGATCTAAAGAGAGAAAGCCCTCCAGAAGGAGGTGGCATTGTTTGCTGTGAGTCTGGGTAGCCTGGTAGGAACTGTAGAGATCCTGAAGCTCAATGAAACACCAGGAAGCAGCTAGAGAAATGGGATGGATTGAAGAGCTGGGAGAGGGATGATGGATCATTGACAAGCAGAAATCTGTCATGGGCCTTGAACCTCAGGACACCAAACTCTAGCCCAGCCCTCCAAAAACCTCAGAGAACTCATGCCCTAGACAAGGCTCCAGATGCAGGACCGAGAACGACACACTTATGTGGACAGAGTAATCATTTATTGGAATAGCTTTAGGTGGAGGCACTCTAGACACAAAAGTTTGGACATAAACCTGTCTTAGGTCTCCTTTGCAGGATCGGTGATGTGCCAACCTTCTCAGTTCTTGGAGGTCTCTGGGATTTGCAGGAAATGAGGGATAAGATGACATCTTGTGGAACAGAATGAAGGAAGGTAGGTGTCAATCAGGAGGTGACATAGTTGGACACCTCAATGAGATTTCTGTCAGGATCGCGGAAGTAGATGGACATAATCGGCCCTTTTGCTCCTGTTCTGGGGACTGGGCCCTCCTCAATGGGGATATCGAAAGCCTGAGTAGAGTGTGCAGAAAAGACCAAAGTCATATGTCACAGATACGTGAGACCAAAACTTAAGGACTTCCTTAAGAATCCCGTCTCCTTCCTTCCCTGCCCCAGCGCTCTAGGGGTTGAACTTATTCACGCTACAACCATAGCCAGAGTTTAATCCCTAATAGTGTCCAGAATGCCTGGCTTCTGACTCCATCTACTGGCATTTTCCCTCCCTCATTCTACTCAAGATATATGGCCTTGGGCAGACTATGTAATTGCCTTGAACCTCAATTTCCTCAATTCATAAATTGGGGGTGACAGTATTAGTAAGCAAGAATTTAAGTGCAGTACCTCAATGAAAGTCTGTATTCATTTTTTTTTTCTAAACAGCGCTGGAAATTGAACCCACAGCTTCCTGTGGGACCAGCAAGCATTCTACCACCAAGCTATGTTCCCAGACCGGTTACTGTTGGTTTTAATTGCTTTCTCTTTATGACAAGATAAAATGTTTGTTTGTTTGGTTTGGTTTTTCGAGACAGGGTTTCTCTGTGTTACAGCCCTGGCTGTCCTGGAAGTTGCTCTGTAGGCCAGGCTGGCCTCGAACGCACAGAAATCCACCTGCCTCGGCCTCCTATGTGCTGGGATTAAAGGTGTATGCCACCATGACCTGGCTCTGGTCAAATTTTAATGTAGCTTTTCTTACTTAAACATTAACATGACAAAAGACTGAGTATGTCAGAACATTATTTACACATATTCTTCTTTAAATTTTATATAATTTACTATATTAAAAGTCTTGCAAGCCAGGCAGTGCTGGTTCACGCCTTTAATCCTTGGGAGGCAGAGGCAGGTGGATCTCTGTGAATTCGAGGTCAGCCTGGTCTACAAGAGCTAGTTCCAGGACAGGCTCCAAAGCTACAGAGAAACCCTGTCTCTGAAAAAAAAAAAAAAAGTCTTGCAAATAAACAAAACTTCAAACACCAAAATTAACCAGACCCAGTTGTTTTTCTGCTTCTAATTCTATATTGAATTTTGTTTTGTTTTGGGTGGTGGGTAAGTGTATAAACTATATTCAATACTGACCTGTATGTAATATGTAATATAAAGCTCCACAGTTCTGAATGCTTATTCTAAGTGTATGAATGTTCATTGAGTTGTAGTATCTCCTTCTAATTCATTTTGGTTCCGTGACATTGACATCAATCAAAGGAGCAAGTAGATAACTGCACAGGCAGGACATGGATGCGATGGGATCTCTTGTGGCTGAGGTTTGAGAAAGACCTATCTCTTTAGGTCACAATTCTGTCTTGGCAGTATCTACCTCCATCCTCCCCTCCCAGTCCCCGATCCCCCCCCCCCCATCCCAAATCCCCTCCTGTTCCTCTTTTTGTTAAGGCTGGACTTGGTTTAGGCGAATGGCAGTGCACTCACCTTGAGGTGCCGGATCACCTCCTCCAAAGGTGCTTCTGTGATCAGACAAAGATCCAGGGAGCCCGGAATCGGGTGAGCTGCTTTGGGCTCAAATTCCTTTCCCACCTCATGTAAGTTAAATTTTTGATCTCCAAAACACAATGCCTTCCGGTCTCCCTGTTTAGGAGCGAGAAAACAGTGTAGAACTGAGCTGCCAAGATGAGTTTGAACTTACTGCAAAAAAATAAGGAGAAAGAGCTGCTACACAATGACCCTTGATCCATCTAGCATACTGCAAATTAGTGTCTGTGCATGCCTGTGTGCACACGCAGAGGCCAAAAGAAGGTTCTGATTCCTCAGGGCTGGAGTTCAAGGTATTTGTGAAATGCCTGGCTTGTTATTTGAGTCCTAGGACCTGAACCATCTAGTCTTCGTGATTGAGCAGCCAGTGTTTTTCTCCAAGCCATCTCTCCAGCCCAACAGTCTTTAAATTTTTCTTAAATTTTTTTTTTTTGGTTAGGTGTGGTGGGGCATACCTTTAATCCCAGCATGTTGAAGGCAGAAACTGGCAGATCTCTATGAATTGCGAGCCAGCCTGGTCTACAGAGCAAGTCCCAGGGCATCTAGGACTACACAGAAGTCTCAAAGGTGTACTCGTTGACAGCAGTGCCCAGTAATATTTGCACACTTATTTGTGTGGAGGTGGATGCTGTGTGCTGAAGCCAGAGGGCAACTTTCAGGACCCATTCTCTCCTTCCACGATGCTGGTTCCAAGGATCGAACTAGTTCAGGTAGCCAGGCTTGCTGGCGAGTGCCTTACATTTAACCTCCTTACCACACACCACGTTCACCACCATTTTCTTCAGGGACAAAAATCTCCTGTGGTCCAGGCTGGTCTTGAACCCACTATGAATCAAGGGCTGGCTTTAAACTCCTTATCCTCCTTTTTATTTTCTTTTTAGTTTTTCGATACAGGGTTTTTCTGTGTAACCCTAGCTGTCTTGAAACTCACTCTGTAGACCAGCCTCTGCCTCCCAAGTACTGGGATTAAAGGCCTGCGCCACCACTGCCTGGCCACTCCTGATCTTCTTGCCCCCAACTCCATGTGCTTAGATCACCATTATGGCCAGCTTTTCTTTTTATGTTTTTAAGATTTATTTATTTGTTGAATGTGTGCATATGTCTGAGTGTATGTGTGTACACATGTGTGTACAGCACTCACAAGGGCCAGAAGATGTCAAGTACCTCCTGGAACTGGAGTGACAGGCAGGTGTGTGTTCCCAGTGTGAGAGCAGTAGTTGGAATCTGGGTCCTCTAGAGGAATAGCAAGCTCTCTTAACTGCTGTACCTGAACTCCCAACTTCTTTTTCTCTTTCTTATTCTTTTTCTTTTCCTGAGACAGCATCTTACTATGTAGCCTGGCCTCACACTCTCATTACTTTCCTGCCTTATGCTCCTGATGCTGCTCTTGCAAGTGTGCCTCACCTTGTTAGTTTCAGGCATCTGCTCTTAGTGAGTGCTCCATGGGTGGGCAGCCTTGTGTGTTTCTTGTTAGAATGTCCATTTCGCCAAGTGTTTAAACCCACGCATGGGCTGGGCAGTGGTGGCCTTTAATCTCAGCACTCAGGGAGGCAGAGACAGGCGAATCTCTGCGAGTTCAAGGCCAGCCTGGTCTACAGAGTGAGTTCCAGGACAGCCAGAAGTATATGGAGAAACCCTATCTTGGAAAAAAAAACAAAAACTGTATCTTGGGGAAAAAAAATCCATGGCAGAGATAGCACTTTGTCTACCCAGGGTTTCTTCCTCCCTCCTTCCCTCTCTCTCTCCCTCCCTCCCTCCCTCCCTCCCTCCCTCCCTCCCTCCCTCCCTCCCTCCCTCCCTCCCTCCCTCCCTTCCTGTCTCTGTCTTTGTCTCTGTGTCTCTTTCCTTTCTTTGGGATCTTATTATGTTTCCTAGATTAGCCTGAAACAAAGGAATCCTGCTTCAATCTACTACATATCTTTCCCACCCTTTTATTATTTTTCCTTATAAGAACAACTCAAATTTCTGTATGGTCATTGGTTTGTTCCCAAGCTTTCTAAAAACAAGTCCATCTTAAGTCAGGAGTGGTGACATACTTATAAACCCAGCATTTAGGACCTCTAGTCAGGAGGATAAAGTCTGACTTAACCTTGTGCTCCCTTGCTCAAAAACAAAACAAAATCAAAAGGAACCAAGCAAACAAACCTCACTTCTGTTCCCTGCATTCCTGGCTAAGAGGCCATTGTGTGAGGGAGACCTTCTGAGTTGTGCTCAGCAGGGAGTGGTTGCTGGTGGGGTTTCTAGGAATCTCCCTGCCCACCGAGCCAGCGCTTTGTGCCTATTCATTTCCTCCTAATGACACTTTCTTCTGACTGCTTGTTCAATTGAGAGAAAAGGACAACTGTCTCATTTAATCCATGGTAGTTCTCTCTTTTGCCCCTTCAAACAGTCCATAATTGATGCATATTCTTTTTTTAAAGATATATTTTTTATGTGTAGGTGTTTTGTCTACATATGCGTATACATACATATATATGTCTATATATGCGTACCACATGCATGCTTTGTACCCATGGAGATCAGAAGATGTTGGGTTCCCTGGAACTGGAGTTATTTTTGATTGTGAGCTGCCATGTGGGTGCTAAAAACTTAGCCCAGGGGGCTGTGGAGATGGCTCAGAGGTTAAGAACACTGTCTACTCTTTCAGAGGACCTGAGTTCAATTCCCAGCAACCACATGGTGTCTCATAACCATCTATAATGAGATAAGATGCCCTCTTCTGGCCTATAGGGATATATGCAGGCAGAATACTGTATATATAATAAATAAATATTTAAAAAAAAATAAAAAATAAAAACTGAGCCCAGATCCTCTGCAAGAGCAGCAGCGCTCTTAACTGCTGAGCCATAGCTGTAGCCACTACCTGTTTCTTGATTTATCACCTTTGTGTATTTTGTCCTCTCTCTGCCAAGGAGAGTTTAGCTCAATAGTATTACTTCCCCCAGTACTCATCTATCGTAATTTTAGTTCCTCTGTTGGCTTTGGTTTAAACAACTGATTCCAGCCAGGCAGTGGTGGCGCACCCCTTCAACTGCAACACTCGGGAGGCAGAGACAGGCGGATCTCTGTGAGTTCAAGACCAGCCTGGTCTACAGAGTGAGTTCCAGGACAGCCAGGGCTTCACAGAGAAACCCTGTCTCAAAAAACCAAAAATAAATAGCTGATTCCGTATATATTTTTTCAGATGCTAGGGAATAATGCTTACTTTTTATAAATAACCACTGTCACCTTGTCATCTCCTGTCTCTACCTTCTTTATACCCCTTAGCACTTGCCATTTCTGTTATGATTTCATGATCTCTTTCTTAATCCCCGCAATTGAGACTCCACTGCACTCCTACAGCAAAGGACAGTTTGGCCCAGTGTACAGTTCTGTAAAAGCTGTTTGCTCAAAGCCTTTTACATATCTGCTCCCAGACTGGGGGGTTCCCTGTGATGCAGCACTCACCTAGCAGGCATGATACCCCAGATTCCACTTTCTAGACTGTTAAGACTGCCTTTAATCCCAGCACTCAGGAGGCAGAGGCAGGCAGATCTCTGTGAGTTAGTTCAAAGCCAACCTGGTCTACAGAGTGAGTTCCAGGACAGCCAGAGATGTTACACAGAGAAATCTGTTTTAAAAGACTAAAAAGAAAGAAAGATAAATGCATTGCTGATTATCTTCCCTGGATCTGGTGTTGCTGATATTAGGGACTGCAGAGACGCTCACTGGCTAACAGCACTTGCTACTCTAGCAGAGGACCTGGGTTCAGTTCCCAGCTCCCACATGGTGGCTCACAACCATCTATAACTCCAGTTATAGGGGATCCAATGACTGTTTCTGATCTCTGTGGGCAGTGCACACACAATGTGCAAAACACTCATGAACAAGAACTTTTTTTCTGGTATTTTTTATTGATATTTATTGAAGACTTCATCTTTCTCTGCTCTCCTCCCCTTCAACCCTCCCCCAAAGTCCCCGTGCTCCCAATTTACTCAGGAGATCTTGTCTTTTTCTACTTTCTACTTCCCATGTAGATGAGATCTATGTAAGTCTCTCTTAGTGTCCGCATTGTTGTCTAAGTTCTCTGGAATTGTGATTTGTAGGCTGGTTTTCTTTGCTTTATGTTTAAAAACCACCTATGAGTGAGTATGTGTGATAATTGTCTTTTTGGGTCTGGGTTACCTCAATCAAAATGATGTTTTCTAGCTCCATCCATTTTCCTGCAAAGTTCAAGATGTCGTTATTTTTTCTGCTGTGTAGTACTCCATTGTGTAAATGTACCACATTTTTTTTTTTATCCATTCTTCGATCAAGGGGCATTTAGGTTGTTTCCAGGCTCTGGCTATGACAAACAAAACTGCTATGAACATAGTTGAGCACATGTCCTTATGACACAATTGAGTATCCTTTGTATATATACCCAAAAGTGGTATTGCTGGGTCTTGAGGAAGGTTGTTTCCTAATATGCTGAGAAATTGCCACACTGACATCCACAAATTTGCGTGTCATCCTTGCGCAGGGACCATGCTAATCTTCTCTGTATCGTTCCAATTTTAGTATATGTGCTGTCGAAGCGAGCACCACACTGACATCCAAAGGGGTTCTACCAGCTTGCATTCCCACCAGCAGTTCAGAAGTGTCTTCTTTTCCAAGAACTCTCTTTTTTTATATTTATTTATGTATTATGTATATAGCATTCCTTCCATGGATGCCTGCAGGCCAGAAGAGGGCACCAGACCCCATTACAGATGGTTGTGAGCCACCATGTGGTTGCTGGGAATTGAACTCAGGATCTTTGGAAGAGCAGGCAATGCTCTTAACCTCTGAGCCATCTCTCCAACCCCCAAGAACTCTTTTTTTAACCAGGTGTGGGGTGGCACACCTTTAATACTAGCTCTTGGAAGGCAGAGGCAGGTAGATCTCTGTGAACAGAGTAAGTTCCAGGACAGCCAGAGCTACATAGTGAAATCAGGTCTCGCCGGGCGGTGGCTCATGCCTTTAATCCCAGCACTCGGGAAGCAGAGGCAGGAGGATCTCTGTGAGTTTCGAGGCCAGCCTGGTCTACAAGAGCTAGTTCCAGGACAGGAACCAAAAACTACGGAGAAACTCTGTCTCGAAAAATACAAAAAAAAAAAAAAAAAAAGAAATCAGGTCTCAATCTCCCTCTACGTCCAAATAAATACTAAATAAATAAACGAAAATGATGTTAATTGTCTTCATCCTTTTTATTTTATATGTTACAGTTTTAGTGTGTGTGTGGTATATGTGTATACATGTATGTACAGGGGCCAAAGATGTGTGTGTGCATGCACATGTGAGTGTATGTGTGTGGTGTATGTGTAAACGTGTACAGGGGCCAAAGGTGGTCAGCTGGTCTGTGCTATCACACTATTTCCTGAAGGCAGCCTCTGAACTTCAAACTAGTCTTGCACTCAGCAAGCCCCCGCATTTCTCCTGACTCCACACACATGCTTCACAGCCCTGGGATTATAAACATGTATGCAACCATGCTGGACTTTTGACGTATGTGCTAGGGATTTGAACTCAGTCTTCATGGCTATTCGGCAAGTGCTCTTTGCTGCCGAGCTGTCTTCCCCAGTCCCTTGGTTTTCACTCTTCAGTTGGTAATACAGCCCGCCACCTTTCATCCTGAAAGCTTACAAGTTTTTCTCCACCTTAGATGCTCTGACAGTTCACTTCAGCGTGTCTAAGTATGGGCAATGGAGGCATATTATATTTATCACTGATCCATGCAAAGCCAATCTTGTTTTATTGATGCATTTTTCTCCTTTTTTCTATCCTCTCTATTCCTATCCCCACCTTAGATACCATGATATTTTTTTCTCATTGAATCATTGGTTGGGTCTTTATTCAAATAAGCTGCCTCTATTTGCTCTTTATGCAATAAAACAGACTTTAATAGTGTATGCCCCAAACCATAATGTGTTTTGTGTGCATCTTCTTGGTTGTAAAAGATCTGTTGTTGCTTTTCTGGGGTATTTTAAGTGGCATTATGCTATAGTTTTTTGTTTGTTTTCAATTTTTTATTCCGTGTTCTTTTTTTAGGACCTGAAGAACATCCAACCTGCTTTGGCATAATACTCGTTTCTGCATAGTGTCCCCTTTCGATTTAAAATTTTTATGGTCTGAGGACTGGAGAGATGGCTCAGTGGTTAAGAGCACTGAGTGCTCTTCCAGGGGACCTAGGTTCAATTCCCAGCACCCACATGGCAGCTCACAACTGTCTGTAACTCCAGTCAGGGGATCCAACACTCTCACACCAATGCACATAGAATGAACTTTTTAAATTTTTAGGAAATTTACAGTCTGCCACTTCATGACCTTTTTAAGTTTTTATACTAATTTTTAGAGAAGTTTAACGTTCACAGCAAAACTGTGAAGAAGGCACAAAGATTTCCCACACGCCTAGATTTCCACAAAGTTCGGCACTTGCTATTTCATCCTTGGGACTGGGGCGCCATTGCCCCGCTGTCAGCAAGCATCCCAGCAGTGGGACACAAGCGTGGCCATTCCTGTACCTCCATTGACAGATCATCAAGCAACCCACTGTTCCTATCCCAGGGCACGCCTATCTGTGGGCTTGGACAGTGTCAAGGTCCTAAAATTCCTCGTGCTCTGTTCAGTCCTCTCACCCTTTAATGCCCGGCACCCACCTGTCATTTTGTCTTCATCGTTTTGTCTTTGCTTGAACATTATATTGAATGTTGCAATACTCATCTTTTTTAGATTGGCTTCTTTCACTTAGTGATATACGTAAGGTTTTCCAGGCTTCTTATAGCTTCTCTCTCTCTCTCTCTCTCTCTCTCTCTCTCTCTCTCTCTCTCTCTCTCTCCTCCCCCATCTCTCTCTGCCCCCCTCTCTCTCCTGTCCCTACAAGAAGTAGTGTAAAAAAATATTTGATTTAAAACAACAAAACTGGGCAGTGATGGCATACACCTTTAATCCCAGCACTCTCTGTGAGTTCGAGGCCAGCCTGGTCTACAAAGCGACTTATAAGATAGCCAGGGCTACACAGAGGAGCCCTGTCTCAAAAAAAAAAAAAAAAAAAAAAAAACAAGCAAAAGCAAACAACAGAACAGGGCGTGTACACTATCAGGAGTGACGATAGATAGACTACACCAGTGAAGGCCTGCTCAAGGCCTTATTTCTCGTTAACGCTGTAACCCCTGATCTGGGCATAACAGACATATCTCTTCGTCTGCTGCAGGACATCTTCATAAGGCTTTTCTTTCTCTCTCTGCCCTTATACTTTTGAAGTTGTTCCATATTCTCAAGATAGTGTTAAATCTGTGGAAACCTCCTTTCCCTTACATCTCTTCCTTGGAACCCTTTTCCTTAATCTAAGCTTACTTGACTTTTTTCCAGATATATAGGATTTTCTTCTTGGGAACCAACTCCATCTCAACTTCCATGTATTTCTTTTTCCAAGCCAGCTGAATTTATCTTTGGGAAGGTAGGGGGCAGAGGAAGACATCCGGTATCTTTCTCCATTCCTCCCCACTTTACTGTTACTGTAAAAATGATGGATAACTAGATTGTATGTGTATGTTTCTCTCTCTCTCTCTCTCTCTCTCTCTCTCTCTCTCTGTCTCTGTCTCTGTGTGTGTGTGTTTCGGGGGGCGGGGGCACGTGTGTGGAGGTCAAAAGTCAGCTCTTCAGAATTGGTTTTCTCCTTTCTCCATGCAGACATGTGAGTTCCAGAAACCTAACTCAGAACCTCAGACTTGGCAACAGATATTTTTATCCACTGAGCCATCTTGTCAGCCCTTAATGACTCATTTTCTTTGTGTATTGCGGTGCTGGGAGTGACACCTAGACTCTTGCATGCTGGGTAAGTCCTCTGCTAACCGAGCTGCACCTCCAGCCCCTCAGGTCTTTGTGCTAACAATGCTTTGTTCTACACTGACCTTTGATTTGCCGTTCAGCTGGACACAGACTTTCAGGTTGCATTTTTCCCCCAGAATCATTTTTCAATTAATTACATTTGTGTTTAGACAATTTCCACTTCACAATGCATACCAACCACACTTCCCCCTACCTCCCTGCCACCCCTTCAGCCCCTCCTCCTCTTTACAAATCGCTCCTGCACTTTCATGGCCGCTTTGTTTAGCGCCCCACTGAGATTAACCAGGGTGTCTCTATAATCATGGCTTTAGAGCTATCCATTTGGAGCCTGGTGGGCTCAGCAGTGGGTACACAATTAAAGACAATGGTCCCTTCCCCCCAGAGTCTATCAGTAGCCAATAGTTCAGAGGTAGCAGGTAGGGCCCCACGATTCCCTCCCCCTTCCTCTACTTCCTGTTGATAGGGTCAGTCTTGTATGGGCCCAGGTAACCACAGTTGTGAGTTAATAATTGCACTAATTGTATAGAGTCTATAGAATGGAATTCCATAGCCCTTCACCCTATCTCCTGGCTCTTACATATTTGCCATGCCCTTTTTCACAATGTTCCCGAGCCTTAGAGGGGGTGGCTGGAATAGCTTGTGTAGGGCTGGATCCAAAACCCTTGCTATTCTCTGCATCTTAGGCAGCCTGAGTGTCTGTATTCATCGCCTTCCTTTGTAGGGAGAGGCTTCTCTGATTAAGGCTGGGAACAGCTTTTGTTCTGGGAGTAGGGACCACATGGAGAGATGCTGAGGCAGAACGGGAGGCGGGGTAGGAGTGCTTTTCCCAGAGTCTTAAGAGTATAGTCCTATTGTTTTCTGGCCTCTGGTGTGACTCAAGAATTCTGACATTTGCATGTTTCTTTTTCTTTTGTAGATGAACTACTTTTTAATCTCTGGCAAAGTCTTAAGATGGACTTTTTCAGAGGGATGTTCTGCAATTCCCACAGAGCATATCTCAGTGTTCCTGGGCTGGGCACACAGTTAACTCTTTGTATATAAAGATTGCAAAGTTCTCTTGCACTTTTTTTGTTTTTTGAGACCAGGGACCTTGAACTAACAAAGCCTCTTGCTTTATGTCTTTCAAAGTTTCCCCCTTCCATTTTTTTATCCTCTTTCCAAATATCTCCCTGCTCGTAGTTTGCAATCTCTTACCTTTTCTCTCATAGTTCTCATTTTTCCCTGTGTTTGGGGGTTTGGACTTAAGCTATATTTTATCTTTAAAAAAATTTCTTTGGCAGGGCTTAGGATTGCTATCTGGGTTTAATGCATGCTAGGCAAATGATCACAGAGCTGTACCCTCAGCCGTAAGTTACGTTTAAAGTATTATCAGTTATTTTAAGATGGTATCTTACCAGGACAGCCAGGGCTACCCGGAGAAACTGTGTCTTAAAAAAAAAAAAAAAAAAAAAAAAAAAAAAAAAAAAAAAAAAAAAAAAAAAAAAAAAAAAAGACAGCATTTCATGTATCCTAGGCTGGTCCCATACTTGCTTAGTAGCCAAGGATGATCTTAGATTTCATTCTCCTGCATCCACATCTTCAGTCTCTCCAGCTAGGATTACTATGTGCAGAACCATACATGGTTTATGTGGTACTGGGGACTGACCCAAGGCCTTTGTGTGTATAAGGTGTTCTACTAGCTGAGCTTCATCCCCTGCCGTAAAATGTTAGCAAATTTTGGGGCTGGAGAAAGGGCTCAGAGGTTAAGAGCACTGCCTGCCAGTCCAGAGGAAACATTCCTAGCACCCACATGGCCCCTCACAACCGTCTGTATCTCAGTTCCTGGTGGTCTGACACCATCACAACAATGTGCACAAAATTAATTATAAAAATGTTAACAATTTTAATGAAGGAAGCTAGGGAGATGACTCAGCAAAATGCTTGCTACACAAGCCTTAGCACCCAAGTTTGGATCCTCAGCATCTATGTTTAAAAAAAAAAAAAAGCCAGTGGGGGCAGCACACACCCATTATCTCAGGAGGCCGAAACAGCAGTCTCCCTGGGGTTGATAGCCATCTGGTTTAGCTAAGTTAGACCTCTGGTCTAACCTGCACCTGCACAGGTACACACACACACACACACACACACACTTCATCTGCATATACACGGGTGCATACACACACATACACACACTTTAACAGACTTGAAGTTTTAAATATGGGGACACAATTACCTTGAAGGTAGTGACCTCCATGCCCAGGATCTTGGAATAGAACGTGATAGTGTCTTCAATGCTCCTTACGGTCATCACAACGTGGTCAAGTCTATGGATAAGACCCGGGGAAGGGGTCTGGCTGCTGTTCCTCTGGAACTAAAATGTAAATAAATAAATAAATAAATAAATAAATAAATAAATAAATAAATATAAAAAATAAAAAACCCACCCAAACTCATATAAAGCCAAAATGCCACGAGACAGTTCCTGTTTTCTTCTACTCTCTCCCATCACCTCCCCAAACACTGTGATCCCTCTCGCCCGCCCCCATTTCAAGAGAAAACTGCAGAAAATCTCTGTAAAGTCCATTGCTCCTGTATGGAGTCATACAAGAGGCCACATGTCACCTCTTCCCTGTTTTCTTCTTTGTTTCCTACTAGAAGGGCAAAGGTGAAGACTAGGGAAGTTGAAATTGACACAAACATGCCCTTGTTTTCCCCAAGTTGGAATTTCTTTTTGAAGATGTTACAAGATTCAGACCAGGCCATCAAAGCCTCCAGTGGCCAATTTCCCCTCGCTTCCTCCCTTCCTGAACTGCAGCTCTAATTGTTGGGGGCATGGCAAGGAGGAACCTGGGGTAGGTAGGATTGCAGAGATGATTCAGTGGTTAAGAACACTGGCTGCTCTTGCGAGGGACTTGGGTTCGATTCCCAGCACCCACACATGGTGGCTGGCAGCTGTGTCTGTGGTTCCAGGGACTCTGATGTCAGAGATGAACTAAAGGTCCTGAAGCCCAGGGTGCTGCCGTACAGCTGTAACCTCAGCCCTTGGGAAGCTGAGGCTGAAGTCACAGATTCAAGGTCAACTAGGGACTGCCCAGAGACCACGTCTCAAAAATAAAACAAAATCGCAGAAAGAGGGGGCTGGAGAAATGGCCCAGCAAAGTTAAGGGTATTTATTGGACCTGGTTGGTTTCCAGCACCCACAGGGTGGCTCTAACTTAGTAGCTACTGTCTAATTTAGTAGCAAGGGCTCTAACACCCTTTCTGGCCTCCCCAGTCACTCACACACATAGTAACATGAATACATACAAGCAAAACATGCTTACACAAATACAAGTTATTATTTTTTTTTAAAGAAAAGTTTCTGGGAATATGTGTGTTTACAGAGTCAGTTCTGAAACTGTCTCAAAAACCCAAACCTGCTGGGTGGTGGTGCATGCCTTTAATCCCAGCACTTGGGAGGCAGACAGGCGGATCTCTGGGAGTTAGAGGCCAGCCTGGTCTACAAGAGCTAGTTCCAGGACAGCCAGAGCTACTACTCAGAGAAACCCTGTCTGGAACCCCCCGCCCTCCCCCAAAAAAAAACAAAACTCAAAACCAACCAACTAACCAAAGAAGTAAATTGCTGCCACTTAGGCCCCACTGAAGAGAAAGCCGTATATTTTGTTTTATTTTTTTCAATCCTACTTGGGATCTGAGCGGTGACTTGGTTTGAGCGCTTACTGCTCTCCCAAAGAGCTCGCAAACGCTTGGAACCCCAACTCAGGGGATTTGGTGCCCTCTTCTGGCCTCCGTGGGTATGTACTAACATACACGTGATTTAAAAAAAAAATGTCTTATTCACCCTTTTAAAATGTCTGTAGAATTTATATGAGCGCCCTGTTTTGTTCCTGATATCACTAATTTATGTTTTTCTTCTAATTTCTAGGGTGTAAACAGAAATTACTAGTATTTTCTGAATCTGTTTGAAGAACCAACCTTGGACATTGCCGATCTTTATTGAATGTTTGCTTTCTCTTTCCCTAGCTCTGCTCTTATCTTTTTCCCTCCTCCTGTGTTTTTTATGGTTTAAGAAAAGCTGTGTTTCCCAGCTTCTTGACATGGGCACTTTGGTCACTGACTTTTGGTTTCTTCTTTTCCATTCTATGCCTGGCTCCCGCTCAGCACCACTTCAGTGGCAACCGTGGTGGTGGTGGCCACCTTAGTAGTCAATTCCCTGGACACCACGCCTTCCCTCCTTTGGTCTGCCTCAGAGTCCTCTTCAAGGTTTCCTTCAGGCTCTGGGGGAACTTCTGACAGGCTTCAAGGTCAAGGTTTCGGGGGGCCTTCTCTTGCTCTATCAGGACAGCCCCGGAGCATTCCCTGGGGGACAGCTTGGGCTATCTCCACAAGTCTGAGACTGAACTGACCCCCAGTTGAAACCCCCCCCCCCGAGAGCAGCCAGCCCTCAGCCTAGGCTCGCTCAAGTGCTCAAGTACGCCACACGTGACTGGCCTCCATGAGCCTAAGCTGGGCCTCTGCTGCCCTCTGATGATCTTTGAAAGAGGAGGTCCAGGGAAGCTGGTGAAAAGATGGGAAGACCACAAAAGTGTTCCTGAGAAGAGAAGCAAGTCAGCAGACCCAGGTTGGGTACCCCAAGCCTCGCCAACACCCATGCCCAAAGCCTCCAGGGCCCCCACACTCACCTGAGTCTCGGACGTTGGACCCGACATCCTGACTGGTGGACTGGAGAGCAGACAGTGTTACCTGGCAGGTAGGTTGGGGCTGGGGCTGGCTCTGTGCCTGGAGATCAAGGGGCAGGAATGGGAGGTGCTGGCTGAGGACATTGGGTGGGGACAGAGGCAGGAGGTGCAAAGCACCAAGACTCTAACTTAAAACTCAGGGTGTAGCTCAGTGGGGGGACAGTGTGCTTCTGAAGAGTCCCTGGGTTCCATTCCAGGCACTGCAAAAGCTAAACCAACCCCGAAGGCCTTGAAAGTAACAGCACATGGGGCTGGAGCGATGGCTCAGAGGTTAAGAGCACTGGCTGCTCTTCCAAAGGTCCTGAGTTCAATTCCCAGCAACCACATGGTGGCTCACAACCATCTGTAATGAGGTCTGGTGTCCTCTTCTGGCCTGCAGGCATACACACAGAAAGAATATTGTATACATAATAAATAAATATGAAAAAAAAGAAAGTAACAGCACAAATATAAAGGCTTCCTCTTGAGATGAGGGCCTTCTTTGCTCGTCAGGCTGCCTCTAATGCTCCTTCTCGGCCAGCTTCCAAATGTGTCGAATCCAGCAACTCACAGAAAGTCCCGAGTGTCCATCCGGAGACTAGCATGACCACGTGAGAAAGCTTTGATCTTGGAGTCTAGGACCAGGGTGGGAAGCATTTCAATGTCTGAGTTAGAGAATATGACCATTCTCATTTATTGTGGGTCTGTTTCTGAGCTAAGATTTCTCTATAAGGGATGGGGTGTTTTGCCTGCTTGTATGTCTGCACCACCTGCCTGCTTCCTGTTCACAGAGACCAGACAAGGGCGTTGGATCCCCTGGAATGGGAGAATGGGAGTTACCGACAGGCCTGAGTTGCAAGAGAGTACTGGGAACTGAACCTGGCCTTCCTAGAAGAGCAGTTAAGAGAACCGGCTGATGCATTTCTCTACCCGGAGGCAAGGTGTTGTTTTTTTTTTTTTGTTTTTTTGTTTTTTTGTTTTTTTGTTTTTTTTTTTTTTTTGAAGCAGGGTCTGGCTATACCTAGTTCCTACCCACTCTCGGTCCCCTCCCCCTCTACTGTTTGCCCTACTCTAAGTCAAGCTCCCTTCTCTCTACTGGGTTACCTATCTGGACCAGGGATGGGTGAGTTTGAGATTTTGCTTCTAGATACACCCTAACCAGGTCTAACCTGGTCTCCTCAGGTACCAGGCATACAAGTAACTCACCGACATCCACACTAGCAAAACATGCACATACATAAAAGAAAAATGTGTATTTTTTAAGTTTCAGGCCAACCTGGGCAAGTTATCAAAATAAAAGGTGAAAACAGGGTTGGAGATGCAGCTTAGTGGTTCTAAGGTCAGTTCCCAGCACAATAGAGAAAGCATCTTGTAGAACCAGGCTGGCGGGACAGGTCTGCTTTTCCAGCCTTCAGGAGGCCAAGGCGGGAAAATTGTGGTTTCCAGACCAGCCTGGGCCACAGAGTGAATCCCATAGTGAAACCCTGCCTCAAAAAAAGGGTTGACGATGTGACTTAGTGACTCAGGCCTTGACAGTACCAGGCTGTGTGTGGGTTTGATGGCCAGCACTGAAAACTAAAGATGCATGTGAATGCCACCTGTGCCATCCGCAAAATGACCATGGCAGAGGCACCTTCAGGTGTTCCATCTGTTAGATACTTTGCTGTGTGTTTGTGAGCATGTCTAGGCATGCAGTCTGGGTTACCGCAAGTGGCTTGCCTTTGCTTGTCTTGTAAAGGGCACCTTACTCTGCAAGTACACGCAGAGCGTATGTATTCTGCTCTGTACTTAATGGTCAGTCTGTATCCAATAGGATGCCCCCACCCCATCATCTGAATCACTCAGCAATAGTCATTGGCTAGGAATGACCTTTTCCTGTTGTTCTTTTTTAGATAATTTTTTTTATGTAGCGGCCCAAGATGGGTTTAACTGCGGAGTGATTGACTCTGCCTCAGCTTTCTGAGTGCTGGAATTCCAGGGTGTATACCTGAGTTATAAGTGAATATTTATAAGATTGTTCCGGGGCTGGAGAGATGGCTTAGTGGTTACGAGCACTGGCTGCTCTTGCAGAGGACCTGAGTTCAATTCTCAGCAACCACATGGTGGCTCACAACCATCTGTAATGAGATCTGGCGCCCTCTTCTGGTGTGTGGGCATACATGGAGGCAGAATGTTGTATACATAATAACTATAAATAAATCTAAAAAAGGGATTGTTCCACTCATGTTTCTCTTCATTGTTAGGCTTTTTAAAAATTAATTTTAAAATTGATGTGTATGTATTAAATGCCACGTGTGTGCAGGTGCCCATGGAGACTAGAAGAAGGTATCACGTCTCCTGGAGCGGGAGTTACAGGCAGTCGTGAGCTGCCTGGCATGGGTACTGGGACCTGAATGTGGGTTCTCTGTAAGAGCAGCAAGCACAAATATTTTGCCTTTTACAAAGTTTCCTCATCACTCCTCTCAGACTTGTGTCCACTGCTTCGTGTACTTACGTTAGTGTTAGGGGCATAAGTAAAATTATTTGGGTGTATTACTAAGGCTTCTTCCAAGAAACCAATATGTGATTTATTTAAAGTAACTAACACATATTGTTATGGAAGCTGAGAGGTCCTGTAATAAGTCACCTGAAAACGGGGGACCTATAGCAACCAGGAAGACAATTATAGAAGTTCAGTTGAGGGACAAAGAGGAAATCCCCCTTCCTCTGCCTCTTGTTCTATTTAGACCCCCAGTGGGTTGGATGAAGCCTGTTCACAAGAGGGAAGGAGGGCCTTCTGTATTGTTCAGTCCAGCACTCAGTGAAGTGTGTCACCTCATCTGACACACCCAGAAACATGTTCAACTGGGGCACCTCACATCACAGTCAGCCCAACACATAAAATTATCCAGCAAAGCTCACCTGTGGTGGTTTGCATAAGAATAGTCCCCTAGCCAGGCTTGGTGGTACAGTCTTTTAATTCCAGTACTTGGGAGGCAGAGGCAGGAGGATCTCTGTAAATTCAAGACTAGCCTGATCTACAGAGCAAGTTCCAGGACAGCCAGAGCTACACAGAGAAACCCTCTCTCAAAACCCAGGGCTGGAGAGATGGCTCAGAGGTTAAGAGCACTGACTGCTCTTCCAGAGGTCCTGAGTTCAATTCCCAGCAACCACATGGTGGCTCACAACCATCAGTAATGAGATCTGGTGCCCTCTTCTGGCCAGAAGGCATACAACCAGGGAAAAAAAAACCTGTATACATAATAAATAAATAAAGAAAAAAGAATGCCCCCCCCCATAGGCTCATATATTTGCTTAGTCATCAGAGACTGGTACTACTTGAGAGAGATTAGGAGCGTGGCGTTGTTGGAAAAAGTGTATCACTGGGGTGGACTTTGAGGTTTCAAAAGCCCTTATAGGCCCAGCCCCACTCCAGCCCCTGCCTGCGGATCAAAATGTAGCTCTCAGCTTCTTCTCCAGCGCCATGCCTGCCACGCCTGCAGCCTGCACCCTGCTCTTCCCCTGTGATGATTGTGGATTAAAGCACCAATTAAATGCCTTCTCTGATAATAGTTGTCAAGGTCATGCTGTCTCTGTACAGCAATAGATCAGTGACTAAGATATACCCTTTGTCAACTTGGCACTGACGTGCATCTTATAAAGCCACGCTAATCACCAGATGACTACAGTAAATAGGGCAGCTGTTCCCCTAACCTGACACAGCAGTCTCTGCCCAGAAGAGGTAAAATGCTTGACCCTGCTGACTTTCCCCTTGATATCCCACAACTTAACAGTCAGGTCAGCAATATTTTTTTTTTAAGATTTATTTATTATGTACACAGTGTTCAGCCTCTATGTATGCCTGCAGGCCAGAAGAGGGCACCAGATCTCATTATAGATGGTTGTGAGCCACCATGTGGTTGCTGGGAATTGAACTCAGGACCTCTGGAAGGGTAGTCAGTGCTCTTAACCTCTGAGCCATCTCTCCAGCCCTCAGCAATATTTAAATACTGATAGAGGGCCGGAAGCTCAAGTCTTGCTGACTTGGTTGGAGCTTGCTAAGTCAACTATGTTGGTCTCAAATTCACAGAGATCCACCTGGATCTGCCTTTTGAGTGCTGAAAATATATTTTTAGGTTTGTTTATTTTACGTGTATGTTACGTGTCTCTGTGTACACCACATGCATGCCTGGTGTCCATGCAAGTTAGAAGAAGGTGACCAATCCCATGGAACTGTAGTTGTAACTGGCTGTGAGCTACCATGTGGGTGCTGGGAACTGAACCCGGGTCCTCTTAACAGCTCATCTATCTCTCCAGCCCCTGCAAAAAAAAATGTTTTCAGCTTTAGGAATTTTATTTTCCTTTCACCTTTTCCTTTCTTTGCGCAGGTGTCTGCAGAGTGGCTCGGGGTCGCTCAGTGGTGACTCCAACCCATCAGTGGCCTGCACTGTGGGAGCTGCTGATGAATCTTCAGGCTTGCTGGGCACTCAAGTCTTCAGTGGGGAACTGCTGGCTGGGTACAGAGGGCACCTGCATACCCTCAGAACAGGCTGTCACCTCTGGTTGAGCAACAGTGACCTCAGGAGCCCTAAAATTCCTCCTTTGTCCCATCCCAGTCTTCTCAGCAGCAGCCTGATCCTCCTCCTCAGTCTCCTCTGGGTCAGGCATAACATCCCATGCTGAGTACTTCCGGGGCCAGCATCCACTTCAGACCCACCGAGTGAGTACCCTCGTCGTTGTTGCGTGGCTGGCAATGTCCACATACTACAGAGGTGAGTCTGCATTACAGAGTCAATGGTAGGCAGATTGGTGTAAGATGCCTCTGTGAGGGGCTGGCGGGGAGGTCAGTCCTGGAATCAGTCACCACTAGACGTAGTGACTTCTAGTGATTTCCTGGAGGCTGCTTGGATTTGGTTACTGAAGACCCATGATGTAAAGCGGTCAGCAATTTGAGTAGCTCCAGCAGCGGCAGCAAACTTGAGCACGGCTCGCTGGCCAATGTCCCTGGAGGAGATGATGCTGACATCAACAGGGATCTCAATGGCAACAAGAGCCCAAGCTGCCAGCAACAGCTTCTCCCAGGTCCTCTCCAGATTTATGGTGTAGATACCATCAGTTTTCCTTTGGTAGATGAACTGCTGCATCTGAAGGTCGAGGTTAGCCGGGTGGTGGTGGGGCGCGCCTTTAATCCCAGCACTAGGGAAACAGACAGGTGGATCTCTGTGAGTTGGAAGCCAACCTGGTCTACAAGAGCTAGTTCCAGGACAGGCTTCAAAGCTACAGAGAAACCCTGTCTTAAAACCAAAAAAAGAAAAAGAAAAAAAGAAAAGAAAAGAAAACAGAAAGAAAGTCGAGGGTCGAGGTTGGTGCCACCTAAGTGGGTTCCTATGACAAGGAAGTTGAGGGTATCCTTCTCCTTCACCTTCAGGACATCAAGAGCTCTGAACAATGTGTAAGTGTCCCTTTAAGTTACAGTGGGAATCAAGAACAATGCCATAGGGACCTGTGCTTTCGTAGTGTGGAAAAGGTGGGAAAAAATAAGCAAATGTATGTACGTGTATTCCTTGTCTATTTCTAAAAAAAAAAAGAACAGTGCATAGGGACCTGTCCCTGGGCAATGTAGGAAAGGTGGGGGGGGGGAAGAAAAATGTCTACATTTGTGCTCTTAAACTCTGAGCCATCTCTCCAGCTCCTCCTTGTCCGCTTCTTTTTTTAAAAGTTTTCAAATTTTATTTTAATGTGTGTGTATATGTAGGTGTGCTCATGTGTGCACACACACACGTAGAGGCCAGAGGACAAGCTCAGTCGTTCCCTCCAGCAGTGCTTCTCCTGCCTGGAGCTCACCAGTCACTCTTCCCTGTCACTGGGAGCACAGCGTGTTTTGGGCCGCAATACCAGCCAGCATTCTAACGACAGATGCTGGCCCTAGAACTCAGGTCCTCAGGCTTGCGAGAAAGTACTCCACTGCCTGAGCACCTCCCCAGCCCCCTTTGCCCAGTTCTGCATTGGTTGGTTTTTTTGTGGGGGGGGGGTATTGAGTTTCTGGGATTCTCTATCTACTCTGGATATAAATCCCTCACCAGGTATGATTTGAAGATAGATAGTTTCTTCCATTCTATGGGTTGCCTTTCTATTAAAGAGTGTTTTCTACCCTACAAAAAAAGTGCTTGTTTTTCTTATCTTCCTTTTTTTCAAGACAGGGTTTCTCTGTATAATAGTCCTGGCTGTCCTAGAACTCACTCTGTAGACCAGGCTGGCCTTGAACTCAGAGATCCGCCTGCCTCGGCCTCCTGAGTGCTAGGATTAAAGGCGTGTGCCACCATGCCTGGCACCATTTCCTTTTAAAAAATTTTTTTATTGCCAGCTGGTGGTGACGCACACCTTTAGTTCCGGCACTCGGGAGGTAGAGGCAGGTGAATCTCTGAGTTTAAGGCCAGCCTGGTCTACAGAGTGAGTTCCAGGACAGCCAGGGCTACACAGAGAAACCCTGTTTCAAAATAAAAGAAGGAAGGAAAGAGGGAGGGAGGGAGGGAGGAAGGAAAATGAAAGAAAAAGAAAGAAAAGGTCACTGTGACTATGTACAAGGGAGACAGGTCCATTTCTGGAAACCCATGCCTTAGCTTCATTGCTGTTGCCATGATGGATGATCTTGAACAGGTTCCCGGGCCTCTTGGTGTCCCTGTTTCTCCAGTTGATCAACGAAGGAATCACGCAGGGTCTTGAATTTAGCTCCTAGATGCTGGGGGCCAAGTGGCTCAAGGACAGAAGAGAAAAGTAAGGTCTGTGCTCTTGGGGTCATGAGGGGCCTGCTGTGAGGGATGAGAGGAGCAGGCAGAGAAAGGAAGCAGAGCCTTTCTTGTCCAGGGAGCAAGGGCTGCGTTCCAGGCTGATGTTTTAAGTTCAGCTGTTTAGAAATCCCACCCTGCCTGCCCTGGAGGAAAAAGTAGCCTGTCTCTCTGTCTATGCTTTTGCTGCCACCTGCAGGCCGAGCTCTGTAACAACCACCGTCTTCAGCAAGCCAACCCACTGTACAGACAGCACTCCCATTCAGCTGCTCAAGAGGATCTGGACTTCTGGACACAAGTGATGCTTCCTGATGCTTCCGACTCAGCCTCCCAGATAGCTGGGGCTTCAGGTGTGCACCACCCTGCCTGGCTTCTTCCTGTTTAAACATTATTTATTGACAATCTTTTGTGTGCACAGATTGGGGCCAGATGGTACTGGGAAAACATCAGAAAGCTGTTCTCTTCCAGTTAGTGGTTGGGGGAGGGTGGGAGACACAGATGCAAAAGGCAGATAGCGGGACTGCTGTTCCCCGGCTTTACGGGAGACTTCATTCCCTGCTTCTTCCAGCTTCTGATGGTTGCCAACCTTTCTTGATATGTGGCCTCGCTATTGCCACCTCTGCCTCCATGATCCTGCTGCCTTCTCCTCTGGGTGTGTCGTCTAGTGTTCTGTCACTCTACCTTCATCTTTTGGTTTGTTTCTTGTTTTGTTTTGTTGTTTGTTGTGTTTTTGAGACACGGTTTCTCTGTGTAACATCTCTGGCTGTCCTGGAACTCACTCTGTAGACCAGGCTGGCCTCGAACTCACAGAGATCTACTGGTCTCTGCCTCCCGAGTGCTGGGATTAAAGGTGTGCACCACCACCACCTGGCCTACCTTCCTCTTGTAAGAACACTGTGGTGGGGAGACTGGACAGGTGGCTCAGGTAAAGAGAATTTGCTGCTCCTGCAAAGGACCTGGGGTCAGCACCTACGTGGCTCCTCTCAACTGTCTATAACTCCAGTTCCAGGGGAGCCAGTGCCCTCTTCTGACTTCTGTAGGCATGTATGTAGCATAACGTGCTGCAACACATCCGTGCAGGCAAATGCTTATACACATAAAATATTTTTTTTTCAAGACAGGGTTTCTCTGTGGCTTTGGAGCCTGTCCTGGAACTAGCTCTTGTAGACCAGGCTGGTCTCGAACTCACAGAGATCCACCTGCCTCTGCCTCCCAAGTACTGGGATTAAAGGTGTGCGCCACCACCGCACGGCTTCACATAAAATAAATTTTAAAATTAAAAAAGAAAACACTGTAGGGGTTGGTTCTGAAGCTCAGTGCTAGAGTGCTTGCCTAGCATACTGAAGGCTCTGGGTGTCGCCCCTGCCCCAGACACATGCAGAATAAAACAAAAAAATAATTATGATTCCATTTAGGACCCATCCAGATGATAGTTCCAGATACTGAATTTCAAAAAAATGAATATGTATGAGTATTTTGCCTACATGTGTGCCTGTACACCACATGCGTGTCTGACACCTGTAGAGGCCAGAAAGTGGCTGAAGTAGGAGGGTCATGCCTTGAAGGACAGCCTGTGATAGCAAGAGAGAGCTCTAAATTAGATAGCCTGAATCATAGAGAGTCTGTCTTGAGACAGAGTTTCTCTGTGTGGCCCTGGCAGTCCTGGAACTCACTCTACCCCCATACCCAATTTTAGGAGGTGCTGGGTATCAAACTCAGGGCTTCCTACACACTAGGCAAGCATTCTGCCAACTGAGCTGCATCCCAGGTCTTGTTTTTTTTTAATATTTATTTATTATGTATACAATATTCTGTCTGTGTGTATGTCTGCAGGCCAGAAGAGGGCATCAGATCTCATTACAGATGGTTGTGAGCCACCATGTGGGAATTGAACTCAGGACCTTTGGAAAAGCAGGCAAGGCTCTTAACCGCTGAGCCATCTCTCCAGCCTCCCCCAGGTCTTATCTCTCCAGCCTCCCCCAGGTCTTGTTTTAAGGCCGGCCTTGGTCCTCCTGCTCCTGCCTCAGCCTCCTGAGTGCTGTGGTTACAGATGCCAGGCTGCTAATTAAATGCCTTTGAAAACTTTTTTTGCAGCCAGTAGACAAGAGAGCACAGCATAGAAGAGCATCTATCTCCAGTAAACAGGTGAGAGATCTTCACCTTGAGTCCTCATCAAGGAAAAGAGAAGCCACATTACAAAGGAGGAACTGCACGTAATACTAGATGGGTAAAACAATAATCAGAGTAATTATTATTTTATTTATTTATTTATTTATTTATTTTTGGTTTTTCGAGACAGGGTTTCTCTGTGGCTTTGGAGCCTGTCCTGGAACTAGCTCTGTAGACCAGGCTGGTCTCGAACTCACAGAGATCCGCCTGCCTCTGCCTCCGAGTGCTGGGATTAAAGGCGTGCGCCACCATCGCCCGGCTTAATTATTATTTTCAAATGCACACTTTCATCAGTGGCCTCAGGAAAGAATCAGTCTCAATGTGTTGGATGCTCTCAAGAGCCCCCTGGTGGACAGGTGTGGTGGTGCATGCCTTGTAATCTAGTAATCAGGAAGCAGAGGATGGAGGATCAAGAGTTCAAGGCCAGTCTGGTCATACCACAGGGCCTCCTAAAAAAATACCCTCCACCGCTGGGCTGGGTGGTGGTGGCACACACCTTTAATTCCAGAACTCGGGAGGTAGAGGCAAGTGGATCTCTGTGGGTTCAAGGCCAGCTAGTTCTACAGAGTGAGTTCCAGGACTGACTCCATAGCTACTGAGAAACCATCTCAAAAAAAAAAAAAAATAATAAGCCAGTTCTGGTGGCGCAGGCTGGTAGGATTTGCTGAAGGAGGCAGAGGCAGGTGGATCTGGAGTTCGAGGCCAGCCTGGACTACACATTTGCCGGGCGGTGGTGGCGCACGCCTTTAATCCCAGCACTCGGGAGGCAGAAGCAGGTGGATCTTTGTGAGTTTGAGACCAGCCTGGTCTACAGAGCTAGTTCCAGGACAGGCTCCAAAGCCACAAAGAAATCCTGTCTCGAAAAACCAAAAAGAAAAAAAAATAATAATAATAAAAACAAAAATACCCCCCCAAAAGATCATCTCAAGCTGGTAGGGAAGGCAGGGGTGGGGCGAGCGTGAAGATTACATATAAGTTTGTGTTTGAACCATAAACAGAATTAATCACATGATACTGCCCAATAATTTCTTTTTTTATTTTAAAAAAGAAAACAAACTTAAACTGGGAGCATGGGGACCTTGCGGGGGGGGGGGGTAGGGGGCTGAAGAGGGGAGAGGAGAGGCCGAGAGGAGAGCAGAGAAAAATGTAGAGCTCAGTAAATATCATGGAAAAAAAAAACCAATAATCACAACTGAAGCAGGGGATTTCCTTGCATTTAAGATCAGCCTGAGCTACACAGTGAGATGGCTCTATAGATAAAAGTACCCATGCTGTGTCTCTGACTCCTGGCACTCTAGCTCCAAGGAGTCTGATGCCTCCACCTGGCCATCCTGGACATACTACACTCATAAATTAAATCAAACCTTTTAAAGTAAGAAAAAGAAAACAAACTATCTTTTTTCATATGCATACCAATCCAAGTTCCCACTCCCTCCCCTCCTCCCAGTGTCCAGTCATTTCTAGCTAACAGGCACCGAGACAGCACGTGAGTGGAAATGACAGGGACGTGCTACTGTGTAATGTCGATGCGGAAGCTTCCACTGGCGAGAGGTCATATGTGGTGGAAGATGTCAACGTGGCACGGAGAGCCACAGATGAGATGGCATTGCATGGACTCCTGAGACCAGGGCTGACCCCACCATCCATCTGCCTGGAACCTCAAGCTGCCTGGAAGCCGCTGTCACCATGACTTCATAGACGCTTGCCAGGGGACCTTGGCTTGGACTTTAATTGGCAGTGTTTTGGCAGGGTGGAAACAAACAGGGTGAGTTCTCATTCGCCACCCTGAGATTACCTACCGCAAACTCTTCCTAGGTGGTACTCTGAATGGCTAAGACCTCCGGCTAGTGCTCCTATTGACTGCTGGTTCTGCGCCCATGCAGAGGCCCTACGGTTGACAGTCAGTGTTTCAGATCCAGTGCTATCATTGCTGTTGGTGAAAGTAGGTTCGAATCCCATCTAGCAAACCCAATTTGCAGCCCTGTTAAAGAAACTGGTATTACTGGCTTGTAGTCAAGGCTTGCTATGCAGTGCATCCAGTAATCTTTCTCATTCTCTTATATCTGTGCCCTTTCATTTTAAATAAGGTGTATTGTATCAGACACACAATTCTCAATATTAAGAAAACTCTCAGACTAGACATGGTAGCTCATTTTTCTGGGGTGGGGGAGTTTCAGGACAGGATTTCTTTGTATAGTTCTGACTGTCTTGGAACTACCTTTGTAGACCAGGCTAACCTTGTCTCCTGAGTGCTGGGATTAAAGGTGTGTGCCATCACTGCCCAGCAGAGAACAACTTTTGAAAGCAGCTTTTCTCCTTTCACTGAGATCAAACTCAGGTCCAGCTTGCAGGACAAGCAGTTTTCCCTGGCCCACCTCACTTGCCCAAGACTACTTTTCCTTCCTGGAATCACCCCCCATTACATGAAATGAACCCATTAGTTCAGTCCCTATACCACACCGTGACATTCAGCTGGGTCTGCCTGCCCTTGGCATTAACTATTTCTTTTTCTTTTAGATGCTGGCTACAGTCCAAATCTGTTTTTAAACTCCCTTAACTTATGCTTTGGGCTTCCTTGCTCTTTCTGAAGCTTTTCTTCTAGCCTTGCGTGTATGTGTAAGTGCTCATATGTGCAGACTGTGCTCAAAGAGGCCTCAAGAGGACGTCAGATCCTTGAACTGGAGTTATGGTTGTCAGAGCCAACACATGGGTGCTGGGAATCGAGCCCGAGTCCTCTGGAAGAGCAGTCAGTGCTCTTCAGTGCTAAGCCATCTTTCCAACCCCGAGTCCTTTCTTAATTATTTTATTAGTGAAACTGAGAAGTCCATTTCCCTGATAGCGTATGATGGCATCATAAGATGGCTCTGCAGGGACTCTCCAAGATTTCCGGGAACACTTTTTTCCTTCCTTTCAATTCTGTAATTGGCAGAGAAAGCAAAACCCATCCCTGCACCCTATATGGCCTCAATGTGAAAAGTCAGTTTGGGTTATGAAGTCTGGACAGTCTGTTAAGTGTCTTCAAACTTTAGGTCTTTGGTGGTTCAACTTGCTCTAGCAGAGGACCCAGGTTCATTTCCCAGCACCCATATGGAGCCTCACAACCCTCCGTAACTCCGGCTCTAGGGGATTCAGCATCCTCTTCTGGTTTCCATGCATATACACGATACACAGGCATACAAGCAAGCTAAATACTCAACACTTTCAAGTGAATTTTTGCAAGACTGATTAACTTCTTTTTAAACTTAAATCTCTGATATATTATTGGTGGGTCTTTGTCCCTGGATACGAAAATTTTTAAGATATTTATTTAGGGGTCTTTACCCCTAGATGTCCTCTTCTTTTACTTTTTATTACATTTATTTACTTATTTTCTCTCTCTCTCTCTCTCTCTCTCTCTCTCTCTCTCTCTCTCTCTCTCTGTGTGTGTGTGTGTGTGTGTGTGTGTGTGTGTGTGTGTGTAGGGCAACTTGCTGGTTCTCTCCCTCTACCATGTGGGTCCTGGGGATTGAATTCAGGTTGTCAGTCCAGGCGGCAAAAACCCGAACCATGTCACCAGCACTCCTTTCCCAGTTTTTTCTTTTATCTTAGATTTATTTATTTTATGTGTATAGGTGTTTTGCCGACATGTATGTCTACACGCCACATACGTGCAGTACCAATGCAAGTCAGAAGACAGTGTCTTCTGGTACTCCGTTTCCAGACAGATCCACTGGAATAGGAGTTAACAGACTCAGACAGAGCCAACATATGGATGCTAGGAATTGAACCTGGGTCTTCTGCAAGAAAACAGCCAGTGCTCTTAACCAAGGAACTATCTCTCCGGCTTCTCTTTTTTGAGGCTAACCTGGAACTTATTGGCAGACCATCCTGGCCCTGAACAATCTTCCAGCCTCAGCCCACTATGGGCCTCTTTGCTTTTTTTTTTTTAAGATTTATTTATTTATTTATTATGCATACAACAGTCTGCCTCCATGTATGACTGCAGGACAGACGAGGGCGCCAGATCTCATTACAGATGGTTGTGAGCCACCATGTGGTTGCTGGGAATTGAACTCAGGTCCTATGGAAGAACAGTCAGTGCTCTTAACCTCTGAGCCATCTCTCCAGCTCTCTTTTTTTTTAAAGATTTTATTTATTATGTATACAGTGTTCTGCCTGCATGTACACCTGAAGGCCAGAGGAGGGCGCCAGATCTCATTACAGATGGTTGTGAGCCACCATGTGGCTGCTGGGAATTGAACTCAGGACCTCTGGAAGAGCAGCCAGTGCTCTTAACCTCTGAGCCATCTCTCCAGCCCTCTCTTTGCTTTCTTTTTAAATTTTTTTTAAAAAACATTTTGGGGGGGCCTCTTTTTTTGATATTTATTGAGCTCTACATTTTTCTCTGCTCCCCTCCCTGGCTCTCCCCTCCCCACCTCTCCCCTTCCCCGTTCAATCTTTCCCTAAGGTCTTGGGAGGGCCTTTCTTTTCTTGTTCTTTTGTTTTGTTTTTCAAGGCAGGGTTTCTCTGTATAGCTTTGGAGCCTGTCCTGGAACTAGCTCTGTAGACCAGGCTGGTCTCAAACTCAGAGAGATCTGCCTGCCTCTGCCTCCCAAGTACTGGGATTAAAGGTGTGCGCCTCTACCACCTGGCTGGGCTTCTCTTTTCTCAAAATTGAATTTCATTTCTGTGGTGGTTTGAAAGAAAATGACCAAAGCAAGTGGCACTATTAGGAGGTATGGCTTTGTTGGAGGAAGTGTGTCACTTAATTTTTTTAATATTTATTTGCTTATTATGTATACAGTATTCTGTCTGTGTGTATGTCTGCAGGCCAGAAGAGGACACCAGACAGATGGTTGTGAACCAGCCACCATGCGGTTATCGGAAACTGAACTCAGGACCTTTGGAAGAGCCTTTGGAAGAGCGGGCGATGCTCTTAACCACTGAGCCATCTCTCCAGCCCCCCCCCCCCGGGGGGCAGGTTTTGAGATCAAGTTTTTGTTCAAGTTTCTCTCAGTGTGACATTGAGTCTACTTCCTATTGCTGCCATTCTCCCCGCCATGATGATAATGGACTAAACCTCTAAACTGTAAGCCACCCCAATTAAATCTTTTTCTTTTTAAGGGTTGTCGTATTCATGGTGTTTCTACACAGCAATAGAACACTAAGACAGGTTTTTTTTTTTTTTTTTGGTTTTTTGAGACAGGGTTTCTCTGTAGTTTTGGAGCCTGTCCTGGAACTAGCTCTGTAGACCAGGCTGGTCCCCAACTAACAGAGATCCGCCTGCCTCTGCTTCCCGAGTGCTGGGATTAAAGGCATGTGCCACCATCGCCCGGCTCACTAAGACAGTTTTTGACTGCTACAGAGACTTAACATTGTTCCCTGTGCTTGCAAACAAGGTGTATTATATTTGTTTAACAAATTAATTTTGCCAGGCAATTTGTAGACCAGGCTGGCCTTGAACTCACAGACATCCGCCTGCCTCTGCCTCCCGAGTGCTGGCATTAAAGGCATGTGCCATCAGTGCCTGTAGTATCTCATCTTTTAAAAGCATGAACAAATTAAGAAAAAGATCTCTGTGAGTTCGAGACCAGCCTGGGCTACAAGAGCTAGTTCCAGGATAGGCTCCAAAGCTATAGAAACCCTGTCTCGAAAAACCAAAAAAAAAAAAAAAGCCATAAATTAGACAGAACAAAGGGAAAGGGGAGGAGGTACCTAGGAGGAGTTGAAGGGAGGAAAGGAGAAAACAATGCAATTATATTTTAATTTCATATTTTTTCTAAATATTTTAAATTTAAAAACTTGCATTAGCCAGACAGTGGTGATGCACGCCTTTAATCCCAGTCAGCACTTGGGAGGCAGAGGCAGGCAGATCTCTGGAGTTTGAGGTCTGCCAGCCTAGTTCCAAATCCACTGAGAGACCCTGTCTCAAGGGAATAAAGTGGAAAGTAATAGGACAGGACACTCAACACCCTTCTCTGGTTTCTATATGTGTGCATGTACATGCATGCACATGTGTGCACACACACATGTATGCACGCACACAGGCAGGCTCATTCAGTGCCTGTGGCTAAGAACCACTGGTTTAGGGTATTGAAGTGTTGGAACAGTCTGGGAATCTTTGTCTGAGTTTGTGTTATCCAGTTTAGAGTCAGTAAACTACGCTATAATCTACCTGTTGATGTGCCTGTTATGGTTTGGGTGTGGTGTATCCCCCAAAAGTTCACATGAAGTAATGGAACTTTTAGATCTGAAGCCTACCCAGGCAGTGGTTGCGCACACCTTTAATCCCTGCACTCTGGGGGCAGAAGCAAGGATCTCTGACTCAAGGCCAGACTGGTGGGTGTACAAATTGAGTTTCAGGTCAGCCAAGGCTACACAGAGAAACCCTGTCTTGAAAAACAAATAAGGATCTGAAGCCTAATGGAAGGAAGGTACTTAGGCCTTCGAGCTCCACCCTCGTGCATAGCCTATTGAGTGCTGTGTCACAGATGGGGCTCTTGTCTGGTAACCATGGTTATAAAAAGCGAACTGCTGGCTATGTAATTAGGTGCTTCAGTGCTTGCCTAAAGTGCACAGATCTTGGGTTTGATCTTCAGCAGCACAAAGAGAAGTACAAAAATATGTCCCAGGCGTGGGACTTCTCATCCCAGTACTTGAGAGGTGGAGGCAGAAGGACTGTGCATTTGGGGCCATTCTGGTGAGGTCCAGACTGGGCTATGTAGGGAGATCAGGAGGGGGCAGGGAGAGAAGGAGTGATCCCAAGAGCACACAAGAGGGAAGTGATGGGTGGGATTGGAACAGACTCGTATTCCTAGGAACCTGGAGCAGGATGAGCCCGTGTTTTATGACTGTCCATTGCTGTTGTATTTCTGAATATGGTATCTATGTTTGTGAATTTTGTCAAGAACATAAGTTCTCTTACCTACATTTGTATATTTCAAGCCAGGAGGATTCTGTTTGGTGTTGACTGTTACAGTTTATGTGTTCATCTCAGGGAGTGAGGGTTAGGAGGGGTCTATGTATATTCCAGGCATTCAGATCTCTGGTCTGCTTGGGCAGCAAGTGGCACATCTTAGTTCTGCTGGGAATTGAACCAAGGGCCTCAAACATCCTAGGAAAGTACTGAGCTATACCCCAGGCCCCTCTGGGCTTCATCCTGGGATATATGTATGTATGTATGTATGTATGTATGTATATATATATCATAGGACTTGAGATCTCTGATCTATATGTGGGTTTCCCTGGTTTATATGGATGCTGATGTGTTCTGAAGGACATATCACATGGTGAAAGCCCCAATCTGTTTGCTGGTGTGGGTCTCAGAGTGTAAGGTCTCTTCCTTGGGTGATATCTGTAGTCTCTGGGACTATGATCTGAAATGGAGCTATATCCAAAATGGAAATTGTTTGTCTTTGGTGGTTAGTGGTGTGAATCTGATGTTTCCTGGTAAACGAGGGCTCTGATATGTTTGAGTTTTCTCTGCTGTTTCTGAAGATGTATCACAGCTGTCTGTGATATACATCCCAGATTTTAGCCCTGGATCGCTGACAGCTACACACTTGTTATGGTTTAAATATGAATTATTTCACACAGGCTCATGTACTAAACCCTTGGTCTCCAGTTGGTATCAGTATTTGGAGGGGGGACTCTGGGGGAGAGATGGACTTGGCAGCTGGATCCTAGCTGGAGTTAGTAGGTCACTAAGGTATGGCTTTAAAGGGACTAGTCTCTAGTCCCTTTCTTTCTCTGTGCTTCCTGTCTACTCTTAGATAAGATGCTGTGCCATTTCCTCTTTACCATGGTGAACTGAAACCCTGAAACATTCAATCAGAATATCTTTTATTACATTGTTTTTCACAAGCATATGGGATTTTTATTTTTATGCTTACATGTATAATTGCCTGGTTTATTATTTCATAAGACATGTATATCCCAGTTATGAGATTATTTTGGTATGGGAGGGTCTTCTGTTTGTATGTTGCTTTTATTGGTTGAATAAAGAAACTGCCTTGGCCTTTTGATAGGGCAGCCCTTAAGTGGGTGGAGTAGACAGAACAGGATGCTGGGAAGAAGGGAAGTGTGGCAGATGCCGTGACTATCTGGCCTGAGATGGACGTAAGTTAGAATCTCTCCTGGTAAGCCACGACCTCATGGTGACATACAGGTTATTAGAAATGGGTTGAATCAAGATGTGAGCCTTAGCCAATAAGAGGCTAGAAATAATGGGCCAGGCATTGTTTAAATGAATACAGTTTCTGTGTAATTATTTCAGATGTAAGATAGCTGGACAGCCAGGAGGAAAAGCAGGCCCACTCATCTCTCTTACAACATTATTTGGTAAGACATGTATATCCCAGTTAGGAGATTCCTGAGTTCTCTGTATGTGACTATGCCAGAATGAAGGCCCAGCTTGTCAGCTTGATGTACGATAGAGTCACTGGGGTGGGGGAGCCTCATTTGAAAAAGATGCCTCCGTGAGATCAGGCTGTAAGGCATTTTCTTAGTGACTGATGAGGGAGCGCCCAGCCCATTGTAGGTGGTCCTGGGTTCTATAACAAAGCAGGCTGAGCAAGTCATATGGAGTCAAGCCGGTAAGCAGCTCCCCTCCATGGCCTCTGCATTAGCTCCTGCCTCTAGGTTCCTGTCCTGACTTCCTTCAGTGATGAACAGTGATATGGAAGTGTCAGCCAAGTGACTTTCCTCCCCAAATTGCTTTTGGTCCTGGTGTTTCAACACAGCGATAGAAACCCTAAGTAAGACAGCATCCTAGAACTGCTACTCTCACCTCCGTGTGGGTATGGATCTCAGGATTTTTTGTTTTGTTTTACAAAATAAGGTTTCTCTTTGTAACCCTGACTATCCTGGAACTAGCTGGCCTTGAAATCACAAAGATCTGCCTACCTCTGAATCTCAAGTGCTCGGATTAAAGGTGTGAGCCACCATTTTAAGTTGCTTTAATGATTCTGTGTGTATTTATCAAGATGTGAGGCCTCTAATATGGTGTGGGGTTTTGTTTCATGATAATAAGGTGTCTAATCTACTCGTACCATAGGACTTGAGGCTTGTTAAAAATTTGTGAGCTAGGGATGTAGGCTCTGGGGTTCATCCCTTTGGTGGTTTGAATAAAAATGCTCCCAGTCCATAGGGAGTGGCACCATTGGGAGCTATGAAGTAGGTATGGCTTTGTTGGAATAAGTGTGTCACTGGGGGGTGGGCTTTGAGGTCTCAGATACTAAGCCAGACCCAGTGTTTCTGTCTTTTCTTGCTGCCTACAGATCAAGATGTAGAACTTCAGTTACTTTTCCAGCACTGTGTCTGCCTGCATGCTGCCAGGCTTCCCACCATACTGCCTGCCATGATGAGAATGGACTGAACCTCCAAAACTGTAAGCCACCCCAATTAAATGTTTTCCTTTATAAGAGTTTCTGTGGTCATGGTGTCTCTTCACAGCTAACTAAGATAATCCCTAAAACTATAAAACAAAACAAAATACCCCCTCAAGACAAAAAAAAAAAAGCACTTTTTGAGGGCATGAAGCATGTTCTGTTTTCAGGCACGTGTCCTGATGACACAGATGTCTCAGGTCTCTTTAGATGTACATTCAGATGGAAGGTTTCTCATCACTTGAACCCAGGAGAGGCTCTTGAGCTCTTTATATTTTATGTCCAGCATTTTAGGTCTCTGAGCTTTATGGAGGCATGTTATATGATGCTGAGTCATTGTGTGTATACATCTCTGCTCTACCAACTTAAGGCCTCCTGACTTGTATATTGAACTCATTGTTGGTCTCTGCTGTTGGTAGATTTGGCATCAGCAGCAGCTGTAACCAGGTCAGCCTTGGTGACTAGAAATCCATGTTGTTTAGTCCATGCATAAGCATCATCTCTGCCACCATAGCCACTTTGTTCCTGGGCCCATTAGGCAATGAGAGGAATGGCTGGGGACAGAGGCTGACTGCCCACAGAATGGGTCGTCCTGTCTACTTGATTACTGAACTCCTGCTCAGCTGAAGTCACCTTTGGATGAGCACGTACATGGGATGCAATTATCTACCCAACCTTTGCCCATTCAGAGAGATCTCTCCACATACTTCTTCCCCAGATGTCTTTCTCATCAATTTTCCAATCATGCTTTTTTTTTCTAGACAGGGTTTCTCTGTAGTTTTGGAGCCTGTCCTGGAACTAGCTCTTGTAGACCAGGCTGGCCTCGAACTCACAGAGTTCTGCCTGCCTCTGCCTGCCAAGTGCTGGGATTAGAGGCATGCACCACCACCACCGGGCTCCAATCATGCTTCTAAGCCCCTGACCATCCAGTCTGTCCATTGGCTACAGCCTATGAATCAGTGAAAAATTACACATCTGGCCATTTCTCCTTCCACACAAAATGTAGGAACTGGAATTGCCCACTATGAAGATCCCCTTCTTTAGTGTCCTGCAGGGCTGTTTCCGAAAGGGCTGAAATGGTAGTTGTCCATTTCTGGGCAGTACTTGCATACCATACAGGACCACTCTCTTTTTTAAGTTTTTATTTATTTTTATTTTATGTGCATGTTTAAATGATTGAATGTGTGTATTACATATATGCACCATGTGCATGCCTGGTACCCTTGAGGTCAGAACTGGACCACCATGTGGAGTACTGGGAACCAAACCCAGGTCCTCTGCAAGAGCAGTAGATACTTTTAGCCTTTGAACCATCTCTTCAGCCCCACTAACCCCAGGACCATTCTTTGCTTTTTTAAGTTATGGATTCTCTGTGTAACAGTCCTAGCTGTCCTGGAACTAGCTCTTGTAAACCACACTGGTCTTGAATGCACAGAGATCTACTGGCCTCTGCCTCTCAAGTGCTGGAATTAAAGGTGTGCACCGTCACTACCCAGCAAGGACCATGCTTAAACCAGACCTTGGTCTTCTTTTCCTTAATCCATCATAGGGCACACTCCATGAGGTCATAGGTGTGTACGTGGGGACAGAAAGCATTGTAATGGGAGTAGAAACCATACTCGTTACCAAAAGCAATCTATAGATTCAACGCAATGCCCATCAAAATCCCAGCAAAATTCTTCAAAGACCTCGAAAGAACGGTACTCAACTTCATTTGAAAAAGCAAAAACCCCAGGATAGCCAAAACAATCCTGTACAATAAAAGAATTTCTGGAGGCATCACAATCCCTGACTTCAAACTCTACTACAGAGCTACAGTACTGAAAACAGCCTGGTATTGGCCTAAGAACAGACAGGAGGACCAATGGAACCGAATAGAAGACTCGAATATCAATCCACATATCTTCGAACACCTTATCTTTGATAAAGAAGCAAAAAATATCAAATGGAAAAAGAAAGCATATTTAATAAGTGGTCCTGGCATAACTGGATATCAACATGTAGAAAAATGAAAATAGACCCATCTCTATCACCATGCACAAAACTCAAGTCCAAATGGATTAAAGACCTCAACATAAAGCCAGCCACACTGAACTTTATAGAAGAGAAAGTGGGAAATACACTTGAACGCATTGGCACAGGAACTACTTCCTAAATATAACCCCAGCAGCACAGACACTGAGAGAAACAATAAATGGGACCTCCTGAGACTAAAAAGCTTCTGTAAAGCAAAGGACACGGTCAACAAGGCAAAACGATAGCCTACAGAATGGGAAAAGATCTTCACTAACCCCACATCAGACAGAGGTCTGATCTCCAAAATATACAAAGAACTCAAGAAATTGGTCACCAAAAGATCACATAATCCAATTTAAAAAAATGGAGTACAGACCTAAACAAAGAACTCTCAACAGAAGAATCTAAAATGGCTGAAAGACACTTAAGGAAATGTTCAGCATCCTTAGTTATCAGAGAAATGCAAATCAAAACAACTCTGAGATTCCATCTTACACCTGTAAGAATGGCCAAGATCAAAAACACTGATGACAACTTATACTGGAGAGGTTGTGGGGAAAAAGGAACACTTCTGCATTGCTGGTGGGAGTGCAAGCTGGTACAGCTGCTTTGGATGTCAGTGTGGCGATTTCTCAGAAAATTAGGAAACAACCTTCCTCAAGACCCAGTAATACCACTTTTGGGTATATACCCAAAGGATGCTCAATCGTGCCACAAGGACATGTGTTCAACTATGTTCATAGCAGCTTTGTTTGTCATAGCCAGAACCTGGAAACAACCTAAATGCCCCTCAATTGAAGAATGGATAAGAACAATATGGTATATTTACACAATGGAGTACTACACAGCAGAAAAAAATAACGACAGCTTGAATTTTGTAGGAAAATGGATGGATCTAGAAAACATTATTTTGAGTGAGATAACCCAGATCCAGAAAGACAATTATCACATGTACTCAGTCATAGGTGGTTTTTAAACATAAAGCAAAGAAAGCCAGCCTACAAACCACAATCCCAGAGAACTTAGACAACAATGCGACACTAAGAGAGACTTACATAGATCTCATCTACATGGGAAGTAGAAAGTAGAAAAA